TCGAAATCGCTATGGGCTGGTGGTGAGTTTTTCAAAACTAAAAATGGTTAAGGCTCAAAATCACCCGACCTCGACCTCGACGATCCAAGATAGCTTGACACACAGCGGTGAGCAAAAAAGCCTAAAAATTGGCTAGCTCAAAATCGCTATGGGCTGGTGGTGAGTTCTTCAAAACCAAAAATGGTTAAGGCTCAAAATCACCCTGCACCATTTTAAAAAACCAATAGATTTTTGGGCTGGGCTTTTATTCCAGCTGGGCTGACTCATTTAGCCCATTGGGTGTTGCATCATTGTGCCAACAAATTCCTTTCAATTCTTTTTCAGTTCTTGGAGCTGCATTCTCATAGGTTTAATTTTCTCAGTGACTTGAAGAAGTCTGAGGGTGATAGACGACACAAGTGCAAATGAATTGATAATGTATTCAACTTCATATGCTATGTTAATAAGTTGCATAGAAAATTCATCATGTTCCTGACGCAGTTAGATCTTAAGTTCTTCTTTGCCACTCTTCAAATTCATCAAGTTCTGATGGATTGTTCTGATTTGATCCTTCACATCAACAATCCTGTCATCATTGCGATGCACCAGATCCTCGCTATAATTAAGGATAGAATCAACAAAAGAGAGTGAACCCACTGCAGTCTTTGGATTCATACCGCTTGGCCATATATTCGCAACTGTGACACGGTGCTTCTCGATGCTTTCTTTCACAAGCTCCACATTTCTCAACAAATCAGAAAAAGAGTAATTCATTGTAACTCTAGAAATACCATCTTTGCTGAGAAAGAACAAATATAAGAAACTTCCCACTTCATTGGCACAGCTTCAATATCTGTCAATACATTATTGGTTGTCTCAAGCTCAGTGAGCTGAGGTGGCGTATCCCCAAGAAAGACGATAAGAAATTTCAACTCCTTCTTTATAGCTACAATGGATTCCTTGACAGTGCCATGAACGAAGTGTGGCTGAAGATGTAGTATTTCTTCTAAAATTTCAAGGAAAAGGTCAATAAAGGCCGCAACAAGCTCATTGGGATTTGCGATATTAAAATTTGGGACTTTGAAGAATGCTTTAAGCTTTGCTATAAAAGTCCAAAACAAGATAGACTTTAAGCTTTGCTATAAAAGTCCAGAACAATGTGGAAAATTTTATGTCTTCTTCACTACGACGGCTATAAATCCAACAAAGCTCCGCTGAATCTTCAAGACTGTTCAATAAAATTATTATTTTACCATCTTCAGAACACAATTTTATAATAGACTGAGTGACAATTAGAACGAGTTTTCCCCAGCCATCAGGGGCGGACCGAGAGGGTCATGGGGGCACGTGCCGCCCCAACTTTTGAGTTTATATATATATATATAGTATCGATTGAAATATAAATTTTAATCTAAATCAAAATTAACAATTAATTTTAATAACATATTTCATGGAATCCATAACTGTTTAACTTTTATCAAAATTTACTAAAAAATTGATTTTAATCTCCACCAAATAGGGGCAAAATCACAATAAATTTGAATTTCGA